TGCCCCACCATAGGGGTACTTTCTCTCATTTTCTTCCCTTTATTTCTCTGTCACTGTCTATCTTTCTCTCTGGTGAGTGTATGTGGTGTCAATTGGGAAAAAAAATGTGATCTCATTTTACAGATGTAATTTTTTAAGCTGAGATCATATCGATTATTGTGGGTCCCTAAGCCAAGGTAACTGGTGTCCTTCTTAGAAGAGGGAAATTTGAGAAAAAGAACACACACAGGGAAGACTGTGAAGATCCAGAGAAGTTGACCACATGATGATGGAGATTGGAGAGAGGCATCTTCATGCCAAAGAATGCCAAGGATTGCTGACAAATAGTAGACACTGAAGAAGCATGGAAAGATCCTTTCCTGCAGGTTTAAAAGGGTGCATGCGTAATCCTGTGTGTGTGTGTGTGTTTACAGTTATGTTTAAACTTTTTAAAAAAATTAATTAATTTATATTAATTCACTAAGCACCATCACAACATACAAAATGTGATTTCCTATCCAGAATATACTACATAGTGGCTTAATATACATATTTTCATTGATAATCTTCCATTTCTAGTTTCGTGTGTGTGTGTATGTGTGTGTGTGTGTGTGTGTGTGTGTGTGTGTATTTCCCCCCTATTTCCCACCCTCCTCCCACACACTATCTCTGGTGTCTACAGTTGTTTTCCATTCCTTTCTCCCCCCCCCCGACATTTTATTGATTCACAAAATTTCTTAAATAATCTATCTACTTTCAATAACAAGTTCAACTGATATATACATATCTGTGAATACATGTCTGACTTTAGGCGTGAAATTCTGAGTAGAATGAATATACTATAAAGTAGCACCTAGCTGATGCTATATAGCTTACTACAGTCATTAAATAGGTATTTTTTAAAAATATTTTTTAATTTCAAGAAAAGCAGTTTTAGCTTTAATAAATCAAAGAAATGCTAAGAAACTTTGCTTAAAACTTAAAGCTAGGAAACAGGTTAGGATTCTGTTCAAATAGTAGGTACATGAACCTATCAGCTGCTCAGGACAGGACGAAAATCCTTAAAACCGGAAAACAAAGCCTAGAAGAAAATCAGCAATGTTTTAGGCAAAAGTCATAAAATTCTACTTCACTAGTTTAGTCTCATGTACTTAATCTATCTTCTGTTGTGGTCCAATCTTCCTGATTAAATTCTGGAATGTAATATTCAACTCCAGACTTGTCCCTATGATTAAGTTGGCCATTCTCTTAGTTTTTGAACTCTTATTTATGTGTGTCTGTATTTAATTTTCCTGGAATAGCACTCCCTTCAGAACTTCTTGGAGATCTGGTCTGGTGTTGGAAATTCTTTCAGGTTTTGTTTGATCTGAGAATGTCCTTGTATTTTCTTCCCATATGAAGGATAATCTTGCTGGGTAAAGTATTCTTGGTTAAAATTACTTTTCCCTTAACACTTTGAATATATTTTCCCATTCTTTCCTCGCTTGCATTGTTTCTGATGAGAGGTCTACTATGAGCCTGATGGGATATCCTTTGTAGGTAACTTGACATTTCTCTCTTGCCAATCTTAGTATCTTGTCTTTGTCTGTGGTTTTGGTCAATTTGGTTATAATGTGTCTTGGAGAAGATCTTCTTGGGTTGATTCTGTTTGGGGTCTTTTGTGTTTCTTGGGTCTGGATCTTTGAATGCCCCTCTAGGCTTGGAAAGTTTTCTTGCAGGATTTCATGAAATAGATTATCAATGCCCTTATGAGTCTCTTTGCCTTTTGGGATGCCAGTTATCCAGATATTTGGACATTTGATGGTATCTAGTATTTCTCATGTATTATTCTAATTTTTTTGGGCAATTTTCTCAGTCTTCGTGATGGATTTTTCTAAGCCAGTGATTGTAACTTCTACATTTGAGATTCGATTTTCTGTATGATCTATTTTGTTTTTAATACTCTCAAGAGAGATTTTGAGTTCCTGTATTATAGCCTTCATCTCTAACAGGTCCATGTGATTATTTTTTTTTATGGTATGTATTTTCTCTTTCAGATCTTGCAAGAACTTCTTCACCTTCTGGAACTCATCAGCTCCTTCCTCCTGCCTCTTCTGCAGTTCATTGTCTCTCTTCTCTTCCATCTCTGTTAGCTTTGTCACGGTGAATATTCTAAATTCTTTACTTGACATTTCCTTGAGTTTCATTGTACTGTCTGAGGATGAAGAGGAGTTATTCTTTTCCCTTGGAAGAGAGGCATTTTCTTGCGTTCCCACTTTCCCATATTTCTTGTGACCCTGAAGTGATTTCTGGTTATCTGATGGATGGTGCATTTTTTCCTAATTCTTGAAGTTCAGTCTGAGCATTCAGAGGCGTGCAGGAGGAGATGATGTGCAATCTCTCTTCCATTCCATTTTTTACTCTGTGCATCAGATTCAGTAGGAATTGCGGAGTATTCTGAACCTAATCGTATTCAGATGTTTGGATCCTGTTTACTTGGACCTGTCTAGACACTCAGAGCATGGAGGCTACTAGAAATGAATCTGGAGGGAGAAGTATCAGCAGAAAATAATTTTTTAGTCAGCGAATGCAATATTTCTCAGCTCAAGTTCAGTAGCCAGCTCAGAATAGCCCTGGGTTTGTGCCTTTCCCACAGTCCTGTTAATATCTTGATTTCAGACTTCTGGCTTCCAGAACTGTGAGACACCCAGTTTATGGTACTTTATTTATTACAGTAGCCCTAGGAAACCAGAGGGATAGCACTCAAACTTAACCAGTCTGGCCATTGGAAGTTTAGGTTATGTTCAAATGCCTATGCTGGCTGGAGAGAGAGAGAGACAGAGAGAGGGAAACTGAGAAATCATCCTTGTGGGGGATGGCCACACTGCAATCCCTTCTCCTATTGGGATTTTGGACACACACAAACGCACGCACACACACACACACACACACACACACACACACACACACAAAACCCACATGGATTTCAAACTTCCAGGTCCAGGACTTGAACTGATGTTGGCCATATGAGAACCCAGTGCCTTAATCACCATGCCACCTGATGGCCTCTGTTACTATAGTTTAATTTTTTTTTGAGAGAGATTTTCGCTATAGGGCTCGTGTGCTCACCAGAGAGACAGAGACAGAGAGACAGAAAGTGAGAAATCACTCCATAGGGGGGATGGCCACGCCGCAATCTTTTCTCTTCCATTCTCCTCTTGGGATCTTGGGCATACACGCACATGCGCCTGGTGTTAGTTTAAGCCACTGGGTCCGGGACTCAAACTGTGTGGTCCACTACATGGGAGTCCAGCGACATAGCCATTACGCTGACTGCTGGTCCCACTATAGTTTAATTTTTAAAAAAAAATAAATCTGTCTGCTTTTTATGGGATGACTTTCCTAACCAATGCATAAGTAATACACTTATGAACAGACATTCTTGTCTTTCAGACATTGAATGAATCTCCTCAAATTTTGTGCTGTATTCATTCATTTGTTCATTCATTCATGTCTTTTTGTGTGAAGGCACAGTGCCAAAGCAACAGACAGCTTTGTTTCAATTGCCCAATATCATAATAATTTCTCTTCCTGTGGCTCTTTAAAAAGGCAGAATGCACTTGGTCTTTTGTGTTGACTTCCCTTTTCTCCCTCACCCAGCATCAATAACATTTAGTTATTTTCAGAACAAAGGCAGCATCTCTTTGTGCTGCAGGCATCAACTAGATCTACCCGTATATTTATACCAGTTAAGTTTTCCTTTTTCCCAAAACAGCTATTGAACACACATTATTTGCCAGAACCAGTCTGTTCTATCCACAGTGACCCTAAGATGCAGGGTGGCTTGGCTGAGATTTATTTGCTTTCAAATACTTTTTTTCTTGATGACCTGGTAAATCCTTCCACAATTACCAGTAAGCCATTTTTATTTTGTACAAATAACCATACTGTCAAATAAAAAAATCACAGATGCCTAACCTGTAAAAGGAGAAAGATGTAAAATTTGTAAAAGTATCTTTAATTCATTAGTTAATTTTCCCTTGAATTATATCTATTACCCCTTAAGTTCCGTAAGATAAAAAAATTTCACTCAAGTCAGTAGGTCAGTTTTCTGGGTAGCTTTCACAACTAGTTCCAAACACACATTCTTCAGAAAATGTACAGTAAGGATTACATTTATTTCATCAGTAAAAGTGAGTGGCCACTTCTCTTCCTGATTCCATTGTGCTATTCTGTAATATGTGAAACCTAGCTTTGAAAAAGCAAAGTACGCCTTTTTAGAGGGCATGAACAAGGGCGCATACCTATGTATCAAGAAAGATCTTGCTTTGTATATTTTTAAAACAAAGCTATGAAAGTAGCTTTGGGTCTTTCTGCTTCTTGATTAAATCTTGATTAAAATCAGTGCTGCAGTTGTAGAATGGGAAGCAGTCTTCTCCTTCCCTTCCTTTCTGTAGGTAACATCACTTGATTACTTGAGACAGTTAAAGGTGCTTTGGTAGTAAAAGGACAGCAAGATTAATGGGCAGTCATTTCCATAGTAACAGCAAAGCACTCTGGGAAACAGAGCCACTCAGGAGCTGGAGTTGCACATGCTGGGATTTCTGCTCCCATGGCAACAGCAGAGTGGGGTGGGGAGAACATGCTAGGAAACTTAGCAAAGGTCCGCTTAGTGAAGACAATGTATAATCACAGTTGTCCATCTATTTTAAAATTTGAAGTTAAAATAAATCAAATTTGAGACCACAGGCTGATGCAAAACATTTAAAATATACTGTACAGCCACTGAAAATTTCTGAAGCATAAGCACAAATAGTTTAAGAACTATCCAATTGTGACAACTTGTTAGTTAAAAAAATCCAATTACCAAGATTTTTGTCCCAGAGTAGTTGCAGAAAATTACACAATTAGAGCAATTTTTCTCAGCTGCTCCACTACAAAAAAATGCAAGTAATTATACAAAAATAGTGTAAAATACTTTTCACAACTGCAAGTTAGAATTTTGCTTCCTTTAGAAGAAATTCTGTTTTTCTTTTAGATAACCATCTCTACAAAAAAGTTGAAGAGAGGCAGCAGTGAAAAGAGAAAGCAATGGCTAAAAGAAGAATCAAGAACAAAGCAAAAAGGTGAGTGAAATACTAAAGGACTTGAGAGAAGCTGAGACATTTTAGAAAGACTGAAGAACTCAGCATTCTAATTACAAGTAAAAGAAGTTTGATGCAAAATTCTATTCTTCCTGCTGTTAGTAACACTGGAGTTAAGGGTTTTGAAGGGCTCCTTTGTCCTGTATGAAATTTTAATGCATTCAGGGATCTCAACGTCCACTTAACAATAGAGAGTCTTTTCTTTTGGGTCATTTGGTTCAGTTCTGCACAGCCAGGGAAACAGAAGTTTGAAAATTAAAGTTCAAAAATTATATGTTGAGGGACAAGCAGGTGGGGGTAATGGTTATATTGCTGGACTCCCACATGGTCGACCATGGTTTGAGTCCCAGACCCAGAGGCTTGAAACTCATGACAGGCACATGTGCATGTGTGCTCCAAATCCCGAGGAAAATCTCAAGGAGAATGGAGGAGAAGGGATTGCAGTGTGGGCATCCCCCCAGGGTTGTTGTTGGTGGTGATTTCTTGCTTTGTTTCTCTGTCTCTGTCTCTTTGGTGAGTGTGCCCTATAGCGAAAGTGTCTGTTAACAAAAAAAGAAAGAAAGAAAGAAGAAAGAAAATTATCTGTTGATTGGGTAGAGGCTAATTACTAATCAAATTTATTAAGGTATAGCTGAATGTTTATATCCACTCTATACTTAGATGACTTATTATCAGAAAGATGACTTATTATCAGAAATATTTATTGAGATTTTACTGAGTGTGTGCTACATATTTGGAAAACAGGCATTACTGATTCCACTCAGTTCCTGATCTGAGTTATCTAGTCAATGCCTGTGTTTTGAGCCCAGTAGGATATGGAAATCAAACTGTCATTAAGGCATATGTGAAGGATCTGGTCACAGTATCTCAGAGAAGAGTGATGTCCATTTGTTAAAAGTCATCTCAGTGCCTGTACCTTACATGTTGGAAGAAGATTTGTTATAAGAAACATTGATGGGATTGAGATTGTCTGCTGGGAACCAGTACACAGTGTGGGAGCTGTCCTACTCCCTTACCATCTACACAGTTAGCATTCTTGTGCTGTGATCCTGATTCCCTGATTATAGTTGATTGGTCTAAGAATGGGCACCTATGTCAGACTTGACTGGTTCAAGTTATTACCCCAGATTTTGGGTTTTGAGACTCAGGGAACTGTCATCTGCTTTAAATTATAAAACTCTAGAGTTATTAGTAATTATGTCTTTGCCATATGAATAAAACTTCAAGAGAAAAGAATAAATGCACCAGAGAAAAGCAGAGATAGGAGACAGAGACTTAATTTGATGATGTTCAGTCCTCACTGTAATTGTTTCTGGAGCCCAGCAGACAGAATCTGCATTTCCAGTCTTGATTATATCCTCTCAATATGTTTCTCCTCCATTTTTTCCCCCTCAAGCTTAAGCTGGTTTTCTACCTCTTGCAACTGAGAGTCATGACTAATGTTACAGCATTTCCCCAGATTCTCTAAAAAACATGGTAAAAGGAAGAAAGTGGAACAACCATTTACACAGGAAACATGTAAGAAATAAAAGCAAGGACACAAAAGTAATTGCAAAGTTTTGGTTTTCTTGCAATTCAGTGATTGTAAGAAAGGAATGGGGTCTTATGTGCCACTGCAATTAGGAAATCACCAGAAGAAATAAGACCAACTGAAGTGAAAATACACTGTGTATTGGAAAATGATATATTTTCTTACTACCTGTAGAGGATGACAGATCTGAGTTGAAATAGTAATTTAAACTATTTTCTCTATCATGTATATTGTAGGATATACTACAATAGACAACTTGTTAGTTGTCTTAGATGGCAAGAAACATTGACACACTCAGGCAACTAAACTAAAATACAGACAATAGGAGTTTTTTTTACTATTTTTTTTTAGATGTTTTTTGCTATAGGGCGCGTGCGCTTGCCAGACAGACAGAGAGAGAGACAGAGAGAGACAGAAAGAGAGAAATCACCCCCCAGGGGGGATGATCACGCCGCAATCCCTTTTCCTCCATTCTCCTCTCGGGATCTTGGGCACGTACACACACATGCTCGGTGTGAGTTTTAAGCCACTGGTTCCAGGACGCGAACCACGGTCGACTATGTGGGAGTCCAGCGACATAGCCATTATGCTAACTGCTGTCCCCCAGACAATAGGAGAGATCAGAGAAAATGGAGGGGACGATCCATTCCTTTGGACTGAAGAATTTGAGTTTCTAGACTGCCTGGGCTCGCTGAGAACCTTATGCAATAAATACAGAGAAGTCTTCACCACAGCATATTACTGGGAAATTTAGAACACCGAGGTCAATAAGAGAATCTTAAATATCTCCAGAGAGGAGGAAAAGAAATAGGTCATATACAAAGTAACAGGAATTGAGATTTCTGTTAGACTAGTGCCTTCAAAATTATTTCCAATCTAGAATTCTATATCCAACCTAACTATCAATCAAATAAATGTGTAGAGTAAATACATTTCAGATATGTAAGATCTCAGAAATGTAATTTCTGCACATTTTTTCTAAAGAAACTATTGAGTATGCCGTGATCACTAAAAGGGGGAAGTAAATGCAGAAAGCAGAATACATGGGAAAAGAGACTGAGAAAGCAAAAGGATCTGTAGGATACGAGTGATTCCAGGATGATAGCTGTCATATGGTTTGTTTAAAGGGCCACTATTCAATGTTGAAGCAGGTTCAAATTTTTTCCCTTAGTTCTGTGTCTGTAACTACCCTCCCCTCCAGAGTGAAAAGATAGACATAGTAAAAGTCAGTGAAACTGTATTAGTTATCTATTCCTGTGTAAAAAAATCTTAACACAAGTGTAATGCCTTGAAACAACATGCTTTATTATCTTACAATTTCTGCAGTTCAGGAGACCAGGACAGCTTGGCTGGGCCCTTTACTCAGAGTCTCTCAAGGCTATATACAGATGTTGGCCAAGGTGCGTTCTTTTCTAGAGCTTGAGGTCCAATGGAATTGTTGCCACCTCATGTGGTTATTGGCATATTTTAGCTCCTTGTATTTGTAGAATTATTATTTTGACCCTGACATGGACTTCTCTTAGTTCCGGGAGGCCACTTGCTTATCCTTATTATGTCATCCACTTACAGCATGGCAGCTTATTCAAGACTTGCAGGAGATTTTCTCACACTGATAAGATGAAGTCTTAGATAATGTAACCTAGTCAAGGGAGTGACTATCCCATGGCCTTGCCATATTCTATCATCTAGAAGCAAGTCACATGTTCTGTCTGCCCTCAAGGAGAGGGAAGTATATATGAGCATCACTCATTGGGGGTCCCTTAAGACTGTGTCTCCCACAAGAACTACTGATTTAACTGATGAAATACATAATGACGATGGCACATGTCTGAGATTAAGTGACAAGGCAATATAGAAATATATTCTCACAGGAATGGTCATACCTATATCTGATATTCTTTTAATTGACTCATTGTCAAGAGCCTCCAAATGGCTGCAATGCAGGGGAAAACAATCTATCCAGCTATGAGTAATTTCTTATACATATATATGTTTGTTCACTGAACATTATGTATGTGAGAATCACCACGTTGTTGAGTATGGTAGTAATTCACCCTTCTGTGTTGTCATATAAGATTCCATTCAATGGATATATTATTTTACCATTGATGAATTCTTTGTTTATAGGTTTTGGCTTTTATCAATACTGATGTTCTTAATACCTCTGAATGGGTTGTGGTTCACCTATATAATTTCTTTCTTTCTTTCTTTCTTTTTTGTGAGAGTTTTTTGAAACAGAGAAACAGAAAGTGAGAAATTACCTCCTGGGGTGATGACCACACTGTAGTTTCTTCTCCTCCATTTTCCTTTTGGGAATTTGGGCCAGCATGCACATGCACCTAGTGTGAGTTTTAAATCACTGGTTCCTGGACTTGAACTGCAGTCAACTACATGGGAGTCCAGCAATGTAACTATTACACCATCTTTTGGTCCCCCTACATAATTTCTTAATCTGATAATAAATTATCTATGAAGAACTTACAGTAAACATAGTATGTTTTTAAAATAACTAATTTATTAATTATGATTAATTTGCTATAGGGCATATACATTCACCAGAGAGAGGCAGAGAGAGAGAGAGAGAGAGAGAGAGAAAGATAGAGAGAGAGGAGAGAGAAAGCAAGCTGCCTGGTCTGGGATTTGAACTGTGGTAGGCAATATGGAAATCCAGTGCCTTAACCACCACGCCACCTGCTGGCCCAAACATAGTATGTTTACTGGTGAACTATTGAAAGACTTTCCTCCAAAATCAGGAATAAGATAAGGGTATATAGTGTAATAAACTTCAACATTTTACTAGAAATTCTATTCAATACAAATACCTCTTAAAAGATGAAAAAGTTTTAAGACTCAGGAAAAATAAAACTGTCATTTATAGACTACATGATTTGTATATAGAAAATTAAAAGTACAGATAAACTATTGCAATGAATAAATGATTTGAATTAGGTCAACATATAAAGTCAGCTATAATCAAGCTGACAACAATGAACAATTTTAGTTAAAATTGTTTAAGTATAAAAATATCAAATGCTTAGAAATCAATCAAAAGATATATATATATATATATATAAAACTACTATACAAAAACCCACAAAACATACTGAGACAAATTAAATGAGACCTAAATAAATTCAGGGATAAGCCATGTTTGGGTTTGATGATTTAATATTGTTAAGATGCCAGTTCTTACTATATTGATTTATAGATTCAATACAACTGCTATCAAAATCCTAGAAGGCTTCATTTGAGGAACTTGATAAGATGAATCTCGAGTTTATGTAAAAACTCACAAGGACATATACTACCAGATTTCAAGACATGTCGATAAACTACAGTAAATAAAATACTGTAAGATGATGTAAGAATGAGCAAATAGACCAACAGAATAAATATTGAGTAGAGAAATAGACTCATATGTGTATGGTCATGTGATTAAGACAAAGGTGCC